ATCCCATGCTCCCATGTTACATAGATTACTTATGTCAAATTATTATAATTTTTTTTTTTACACAAAGATCTCTACAAACTATGTATACCTCCCAAATCCCCAAGAATACTCTCCCTCTGAATCACAATTCCCAACAAAATCAGCTTATAGCATCAATCAATTATGTGTGTAAGTTCTTCAGATCCTATTGCACAATAATATGGCTGTATGTGGTGGTATATACAAATATCTAGAATATAGCACATTCTAAGACACAAACATTTCTGATCCATTCTCAACCCAAGCTTTACAGTCACACTTGTAGTTCCCCATATGTGTTAATGCAAATTTGGTTGACGTGCGAGGTGGTTTTCTTCCTCCCATGAGGTCTGCAGAGTCCTTGTGTAGTATAAAAAAAAAGAAAACAGTATTTGTATTTCATTTCCCCAAAATTTGGAGTTTATGTATTTTTGTTGTGTATTTTTATTATGTTTTTGTTTCGGGTAAACCCATCGGGGACTTTTATTTTGAAAAAGGTCGTCACTTCCTGCAGCATTTGCGCTCCTCTCAGTCGGCGGGAAGCCTTGGTGGAGAGAGGTAGGAGAGTGTTAGCGCTCCCATTAAAATACAGTGTTAGTCAAACAAAATTACACCATAAGTATGAATAGTTGAGCTACAATGTATTTTATCATGGTCATATTAATGTACAGAAGAATACACAGGTTTTTCAGCACACCACAGTATCACACTAATTAATGGGGTTTGAAATAGTTCTTTTTTTCTGGTTTTTGTCCGTTAAGGGAGTGTGATCTTGTTCCTGTTGTGTTGTGTTGGTTTCCTTTGTGTATTCAGGTACGTGAATGTTTGATTATTGTACTGTGTAATTTCTTTAGTTATAACTACCAGTTTCTTGTTTTATGTATGTATATGTACTGTTTTATCATTTCATGTTTTATAATTTATGGCTGACGGTCGAGATGCGCATAAGATAAATTAGAGAATGTTTAAATATATTTAATTTTATCTGATATGTCAGTATATGTTTGTAAGCGCTCGCCTCAGTCGGCGGGGAGCCTTGGTGGAGAGAGGGAGTGTGATCGCGTCCTGTTGTGTTGTGTTGGTTTCCTTTGTGTATTCAGTCGGCGGGAAGCCTTGGTGGAGAGAGTCGGCGGGAAGCCCTGGTGATTAGGAGAATAAACAACGTCCGTCAGTCAACCGGCAGCACGAGTCTTCGTTCTTTATGTAAAAATAAAAACAATTACACAACGCAGAGAAGTAAAAGGGGATAACCGGCTGCAAGGCAGTCCGGTTACATTGGTGCCGTGACTCGGATTCTGTGCTCCAGATCAGACTCACCCGGATCTCCGCACAGAGGATCAACGCCAGTTTGGTCGCCGACAGTTGCTGCGCAGCATTCCCGGTCTCCACCAAAATTGTTACAGCTAAGTGTCTAGTTCATATGAAGAGAGGACACTGTATAACTCCGGTCTTTTTTTTTTATTTTTCGCAGAAACGTTTTTCTGTGTGATCATTAGTTAGTAGACGTTTGTTAAGATTTGTATTTTCCAATTTTGTTCTTTGGGTAGGTTTGGTGAAGTCGGAAATATGGCATATGAAAAGGGAAGGGAACAAGGTAACATGGTGAATGAGTACAGTATATGTTTGCTCCAGGGACGGGGAGGGGCAGGTATTCTAGTGAAGTGCCTTTCACCCCAGTATCCACGGAGAGAAATGTTATAGTAAATTCTCCCATGTTCTGTTCTACCCGTGCACTTGACCAAGTAGTGGAGCAAGTCCCATTGAACCCTGATCTAACCTTATCCGATTCAAATGACCCAGCATTGCGCATTGCGTAAGCGACACTAGGTGTTGTAGGGATGGCGGTTTAAGTGTCCCACAGTCTCCCAAAGAGACAAGTCAGTCAGCTATGGGTATACCCCCATCCAATCTGTCGGGGACCAGGCTAGTTCTCCAGTGCGATGTGAAAGAGCCTCCCATTTTCTGTGGAGAGGATTCTGACAAATTTGCCATACATGATTGGGAGGAATTGATGGATACATTCCTACAAAAGCGGTGTATTCCTCTGGCTGATCAGGGACATGAGACTCTCAAGGCTGATGGGAAAGGCTAAAGATGTAGTAAGAATAGTACTTCGCAGTAGCGGAATTACAAATGAAAAGTGAGGACGTGTTACCTGAGCCAAAGCCACTCACTGAGGATATAGTGTTGGTTGGATGTGGAGGGAAACATACTAGAAACTAGAAACTGTAACTTGGCAGACGTATCCCCTTGTCGAGCAGTCGAAGATTTTGAGCTTTTTCAAGGGGTGACTCATGTTGAGGTAGCCTCCCTTAAGGAAGGGCCCATGCCAATCAGTCTAGCAGGCCTCAAACAACGGTTGCAAAATGTCAGTCTTGGTGACCTGGACATTGAGTCTTGCTGTATCGATCTTGCAGCCAAGGAAAGACTAGTCCAGCTCCTTGAGTCTTATCATGATGTCTTTTCCAAGCATGCCCTAGACTGTGGGGAGGCCAAAGGTTTTGTACACCACATCAGGCTTACTGATGAGCGACCCTTCCGGCTTCCTTATCGCCGCGTGCCCCCAGCTCATTATCAGAAGCTCCGGCAAGTACTTTCAGAAATGGAAGAGCAGGGAATCATTCGCAAATCAGTGAGTGAGTATGCTTCTCCATTAGTTTTAGTTTGGAAGAAGGATGGCAGCTAAAGGATTTGTACTGATTTCAGGTGGCTGAACGTAAGGACTACCAAAGATGCACACCCACTACCACATCAGGCAGACTGTTTAGCGGCACTTGGGGGAAATGTGTTTTTTAGTGCCATGGACCTGACATCAGGTTTCTATAACATCCCCATGGCTGAAGAAGACAAAAAATACACGGCCTTTACAACCCCTTTAGGCCTACACGAGTACAACAGGATGCCACAGGGGTTGTGCAGTAGTCCTGCATCGTTCATGCGGATGATGTTGAGCATTTTTGGTGATCTAAATTTTAGTAGCCTTTTATGCTATTTGGATGATCTCTTGGTATTTGCACCCAGCGAGGAAGAAGCCTTGAGAAGGTTGGAGGTCGTGTTTCATCGATTAAGGCTCCATAATCTCAAGCTGAGTCCAGAGAAGTGTTATTTCATGAGCTCTTCAGTTAAGTTCCTTGGTCATATCATAGATGGCAGTGGTATTTCAGTGGACTCAGCTAAAACTGAAGTAATTGCAAATATGACCAAAGCAGCATCATGGAGGTAGATGAACTTCAACAAAGCCAAGGGCTTGATTCATTTATCTCCAAAGTGATATCATTTGTCAATAGGGGGAGGCATCCTACAATGCGTGAGAAGGATGGTTTACATGTGAGAACCTTGATTCTTTTGAATCGTCTCGTTCCAGCTACCGAGGAGATTGCAGATGTAGGCAAAGGTCAAATTACCTTCTTTTTGTTTCAAATTCAACATTAGTCTTGCAGCATCATTTATTATTGGATCATACTGCTGCATGACCAATGCTAGGAATGCTGGGTCATTCCTCTGTGGGTTTGGAATTCCAGAATTCCCAGTGTAACACTTAAATAAGCGATTCATATAGGCCACAGGATTTTCCTCTCTCTCTGGCTTAGTCTCCAGAATTCTCCCCCAGTTTGGCTGTGGACTGCCAATCTTGGCAAATAATGCTGCCTCTCTC